AAGACTAGCACTAAACCTTCTTTTAATACAAGACTTAGGAGTTTGCTGAGTTGTGTTGGTTGCACTGGTGACCAGGGGAGCCTGGTTGAGAGAAGAGTGGTGGTGAAGCCCGGCACTTGGTACCTTAGCCCTGGTCCTGTAGCAGCTGGTAGTAGTAAGGAATATGTCTCTGGGGAGCAGGCAGCAAGAGGTCAGGCACCAGAAAGGGGAAAGACATTTCCACTCCGGCAGAGCAGTGGAATATTTGGCTTGTTCTGTCTTTTGTCCATGGCACCCATGCCCATCCCCCACCCCAATTGAGCTGGTAAGTCTGTTTCCTTTATGTCTAAGGAAGTACAGCTCCAGTGGTGCTATATTGGCCACGCTCTAGAATAGCTCGTTCATTTCTCTCCTCTTCTCGCCTCCTCACTTTTCTGGTTTTCTTTCTCATCCACATCTTAACAGGTACAAGAGAAACCTGCCTCTCTCTTTTGTCTCTGTTTTCACAGAGTAGGCCGTTTGAGGTACCTCCTGTCCCGCTCTCCTCTGGAGTGATGCTATCCCGTCATACTCCTCACCTCCTGCCCTTTTTCCTATAGAAGCGTACACAAACATATTCATTGCAAACTTAAGATCAGCAGCAGCCAGCAAAGCTGCACTTTGTCCTCAGGTGAGTTGAACCCATAGATGTTGAATCTGTGTTCACTCACCTTATGATATGGACTCCCCTTTACCTTCCCTAAATGACAGGCCTGGCTAGAACCACCTCCCTCTTCCATGGTTCTCCATGTGTCCTGCCAGCACACTTTCCTTGGGCTTTCATATTCTCTCAGACCAAGAAGCATGTGCTTTGATTAGTGGCACTGCCCCATGGGGCAGGTAGGTGATACCTGTGATAGGCAATGACAGATTTTCATCTTAGAATTTATTACCAAAGAAAGGAAGCCACCCCACTTAGAATCTGTTCGGTGCTGCATGGCAGGAAACAACCTTCCAGAAAGAGGAGCTAAAAGAAGCTAACTTATTTTAGCCTCCTTTGGGTGGGTACTAATGTCTTCACTTGCCTCTTGCCACTCAGCAGTAGCCTAATGTAGCTTGTGCTCCTTGCATCATTGTGGAACTGAGCCTCACACAGAAGCCTTGACCAGGCATGGGCAGTGTTGTAAAAAAGTAATTTGATTCCTTATTTCAGGTCTGGTCTTCCAGCATTGTGAAGCCTATTTATTTGATACCATTTTCCATTATGTCTCTGGAGGAGACACTGTTTTCTCCTTGAAATGTGCTCTGTAGGAAAGCTGTGACTTGATCCAGCTTTCCAGGGCAAAAGTCTGGTAACAGATGGATTGCAAGACCTTGTCCAAGCAAAGTGTGGACTGACTCATGATACCTGGACAGATTCCAGAGCTAAGTGCAGAGCCCTGTCCAGTGGTTGGCAAAGCCACTCCCCCTTCTACTTGGTGTCTCTGAACATCCCAGTATCTGGCTGGCCATCCGGAGATAACTGGGATCTGATTCCCTTTCTACAACAAAGCTGACTGGGTTCATATCCCTGTCTGTGATCTGATGGAAGAATCCCTTTCCAGTTCCAATAAAGGCACATTTACTTAGATATGTCCACAATGTCATTGAAGGGCTCCTTTGAACCCAAGTCCATGTACTGGACAGGTCTGTATCTTCTCTGCAGCCTGGAGAAGGAAGAAATGCACAAGCCCAGCTAATGTTTCAGGCCCATTTGCCTCTGCTGGGGATTTTAGGTCCTCAGTGATAGGAAAGTGAGAATTCACATAATGAAGCTTAAAAATTCAGAAATTTCCCATAAAAATCTTGAATTCAGTCTCCTAAAATAGCAAATTTGGCCTTGTCAGCCAAGGCTTGGCAGAGGCTTATCTAATTTTTAGGCAGAGCAGGTACTCTGTGGAGGCTGGTATCACCCCTCCTTCCCCAGGTGTGTCTCTGAATGTGGAGTGTGGCTCTTTGTCTGGCCTGGACACGCACTTGGTTTCAATCCTATTTGAAAGTATTTACATCCCACAGCTGTTAAACCTTCCATTTCTGAAGGGGAAACTTAAATGGGCAAAGTGAAACAGTATGGAACTTTAGTAAAGCAATAAATTATTTGCTTTTTTTGTTTTGTTTTTTTTGGGTCTGGTTGTGGGGCCTGAACTCTGGGCCTGGGCACTGTCTCTTCAGCTCAAGGCTAGTGCTCTACCACTTGAGCCACAGTGCCACTTCTGGCTTTTTGCTTCTGCAGTGCTGAGGAATTGAATCCAGGGCCTCATGCCTGCAAGGCAAGTGCTCTATCACTGAGCCACCTTCCCAGCCCCGCAATAAATTATTTGTGAAAAACCCTTGTCCCAGCTATTCAAGAGGCTGAGAGGATCATCACAATTCAAAGCCAACCCCTGCAGACAAAACCAAGAAACTCTTTATCTCCAATTAATCAACAAAAAGCCGGAAGTGGAGGTGGCTCAAGTGGTAGAGCACCAGCCTTGAGCAAAAAAGCTAAGGAAGGAGACCTTGAGTTCAAGCCCCAGTACTGGCAACAAAGGGGGAGGTGCAATAGGCTTTATTAAACTAATATCAGATATTGCATTCACTCAGGAAATAGTACTGATCATTATAAAATTATACAACTTGAACAAACTATGCAGTAGGCATAGATTCTGTATATCTGTGTTTGTTATTAGTCCACAGAAAAAATCTGAGTTATTCTTTTCTTAATAATGTAGTTTTTCTACTCAGTTATTAAGTTTCATTGGGCACAATTTTGTTCCAAGATGGAGTGAAAGTTTTTCCTGACTTTCTGGCCCTTTTAGAGCTTGCGGCTTCCTTAAAATACAATTTATTGTGCTTGCACAAATGAATCTTAAACACACCTGGGCACCAATCACAATGAGTGTCAATATTAGACTGGTTTAATCTTTTTTTATGTTCAACTTTGAGAGTTGTTTATAAGACACAAGTAAGGACATGAAAGGTGACAGAAACACTTTAGGAAAAAGGTTACTTCATGATGATAAACTGTTCAATTTATTAGACAGAGTATATCATCAGTAGTAGTGAGTGCTTCGATTTGAATTGGCCCATCATCTATAAAGTACAGCCACCTCCTGGACTACACCTTAGTTTGGGAGCTGAGCCTTCTTTCTCTAGCTGTGCCTGGAATGCTCTATGGGAGATAAGCTCCTTTAAAAACCTGTACTGTGTGGGGCTGGGAAGGTGGCTCGGTGATAGAGTGCTTGCCTTGCATGCCTGAGGCCCTGAGTTTGATTCCTCAGCACCACATAAGCAGGAAATGCCGGAAGTGCTGCTGTGGCTCAAGTGCTAGCATTGAGCTGAAGAGCTGAAGGACAGCTCCTAGGTCCAGAGTTCAGGCCCCCACAACCACACCACCACCACCACCAACAAAAAATATTTGTACTGTAGCTGGGTGCCAGTTGGCTCATGCCTATCATCCTAGCTATTAAGAAGGCTGAGATCTCAGGATCTGTTCAAAGCCAGCCATGAGACTCTTATCTCCAATAAACTACCAGAATACCAGAAGTGGCACTGTGGCTCAAGCACTAGAGTGTTAGCCTTGAGCTGAAGGGCTGAGGGACAGTGCCCAGGTCCAGAGTTCAAGCCCCACGACCAACAACAAAAAATCTGTTCTGTGCAAATCAGAACTTCCCAGCCTTGGCATTGTTGACTTCATAGTGGGGGCTGGCCTGTGCCTTGTGTGATGTTTAACAGCTTCTCTGCCTCCTCAGTAGCATCTTCTCCTGATAGTGACAACCAAAAATGGCCTGAGGGAGAATTATTGTCAATCTGCTCTCCAGAGAAACATAGTTTTATACAGTTAGTCCCTCTAATAGCTAAATGGTCTCACTCCTGAGATGTTTTCCTTCTTCCTTTTTTGTGGATGGTACTGGGATTTGAACTTAGGACCCAGTACTTAGTACTCTACCATTTGAGTCAGGTCTCCTGTCCTTGAACTTGTAATTCTCCTGCCTCAGCTTCTTATTCTACCATATCCAGCTGAGGGGGACAGCAATGGAAACTAAAGGAAGACATGTACATGTGTGCAGGCATACAAACACCCAGTGTAGAGAGGTCTCCAGAGTTCTTGGTTCTGGGATCAGAGAGTTCAGACTGCCATGGGCAATTAGGCCCTGACCATGACTGGGCCTGCCCAGCCTGGCTCTGCCCTGCTGCAGTGGGAGTTCAGGCCAGAATGTGTTGGATACTTCTCAGCACTTCTCCTTTTTGCTTTTGTCTCTAATGGTGGCTTTGTGTTAATCAGGACCTGCCAAGCTTTTGTTTCCAGAGAAATTCCACTGTCTTCCCTTCTTCAGCTCCCCAGTGTCCATCTGGGGACTTCAGTTCCACAAACAGTAAGGGTCACCTGAGAAATAGATTGTGAAGTTGTTGATACATTAGCTCTGAAGGGATGCACAGGAAGTTTCCCTCTGAGGGTCAGTTGACAGCCTGTTTCTCAGAAGCAGAAAAGATTTCACAGGGAGGAAGCATCTGGGTTGTGCAGGCCAGGTGGGAATTTGTGAGGGGCAGAGCCACAGCATATTAGGTTTTGAGGTCTGGTAGATAGCTTGTACTGCTGTATTGTCAAAAAGAAACAGGAGAGAGGAGGAGGTATGGGTGGACTAGGGATGCTGGGAGCCCAGACATGGCCCTTTGAGCAGATGAAGGGTATTTAAGTGTGGAAGTAATGTGGTCAGATTTATATTGAGAAAGTTTTTTGGAGTGTCTTTGTAAAGGCCAGGCCAAGACACAAGCTGGAGACTGTGCAAAGGAAGAGTCCACCTGCGCAGTGAGATCTCGAGCTCTTGCTGCAGTCACGGGGCTAACGGGGGATGGACTGTGGGGGGATGGTCCATGAACCCCAGTCTAGCCCTGTCCATCACCTCAAAGGACAGTCATGTCCCTGGCTAAAGAGAGCATACTGCCTTTAGCTTTGAAAATACTTAAAGATTTTATTTGAGAGAGATTTTTTTCCACTTTTTATATACATTTTTTTCCTCTAGGAAATAGACAGACGGTTGGAAAAAAAACTGAAGATCACACAAAAGGAGAGGTAAGGCTGCTGTCTGGTGTGAGGGCTTGAGCCCTCTGCTGCTGGAAAGCTGGCCGCGGTGCTCTCCAGCTGGCTGTTAGGGTTAGCAGGTCAGGCTCCCGGGCAGCCAGCCCGCCTTTCCCTCCAACTGGAGACCAGGACATGGTGACTGGAGGCTTTGGGATGAGGTGGGGGTGTTGTGTCTGCCTCACCTCAGTGGGCCCCCTATGTTAGGTCACCTGATGGCAAGTGGGAGGTGACTAGTTGTACTGGTGGCCAGGTTTGGGTTTTGGCCTTGGTTGTGCCTACTTGCTGAGATTGGGGCAGTTGTTTCCCCCTTTGGACCTGTCTCTTCTTCCATGACAGAGAGACTTTGGACAAATGATTTATCTGGGGCTCACTGATTTGGGGGTTTAGAATATGGAGGTGTTCTAGAAGGAAAGATTATAGTAAGTTCTGAGAAGACCTTTAGGGATAGCTTTGTTTCCCACCAATGCACCAGAGAAAGTAGATTTTTTTAGTAGGTCAAGGTTCACTTTGGGTTTAGGTTCCTGTCGTTTTTCTCTTGTCCTTGGGGACAAGAGAAAGGAAGGAGGGTAGATCTTTGGATTTGCTTACCAGGCTGCACAGTTGACCCCAGGGGACTCTTGGGTGCTACCTGCCATTGGCTCTCCGGTTCCTTGCCCGGGAGATCAGACTGCTGGTTTCTTGTTCGTTTGTCTCAGGAACTACATTCTCCTGGTCACAGGCCCCTTTGCATTTGGTTTCAGTCCTGCCTAGTTCACCCTGGAAACAGTTTGCTGCCTCCGTCACCTCTGCTCCTGATAACCTGGGCTCTGGAAAAGGCCCCTGCCGGCCTTCTTGGTTCTAAAGAGAAGCTAGTTGACTGCTTTGGGAGGGGCCTGGTGGCTGGTATGGGTGGTCATTTCTGCCTCAGTCCCTTTCTCTTCCTGTGGCTTTTGTTTTCTTCCCTTGCTGTGTTGCTTTCCCTCCCTGTGTTTATGAGTTCCACCTCTCCTTGTGGCACATGGCCTTGATGTGTCCACCTACCAGCCTTGGACAACGCTTTTTTTTTGAGACAAAAAAGCACTGTTTCTAGGGTCAGCCTTCACTCCTCCAGCCCCGCCGCTGTAGAGCAGAGCCCAGAACCTTGGTAAAGGAGGCTTCTCCGCCAGGAGCCCTTTTGAACCAGTGATTTCATTGTCTGCTATCGTTTGTCTCTGGGAGACACAGGGCACTCGCCAGAAGGCACGGGCAGTTTGGTAAAACCTGTCTTGGTTCAGGCAGAGATGGTGTAACAGACTCCCGTGTAATGTTTGGCTTGAGTGCATGCAGAGGAAAGCCCGGCTGAGGCCCCAACTCTTATACTCTGGTCTGTGTAGGGAAGTTACTGGATCTGGACATGGAATGTTTGTCTGTGATGCATGTGGGGAGGAAGGCCCAGGACACGGTGGTGAGCTGGCCCTGCCTGCCAGAGGTTAGGTCCGTGGGGCAGTTATGTGCCGTAGAGCTCATGGCAAGGCTTCTTTATGGAGGGACACCTGTGAGGAGTGGTTAGTTGGGTATCTGGTCGAGGCCAGATGATTTAGTTAGTAGGAAGGGAGAGAGCATAGAGGGTGGTACGGGATGTGGAGATAAGATTTGTGAAGCTCTGTTTGCTCTTTGTCAGCAGGAAATCCAAGTCGCCTCCCAAAGTGCCCATTGTGATTCAAGACGATAGCCTTCCCACGGGGCCCCCTCCACAGATCCGCATCCTCAAGAGGCCCACCAGCAACGGCGTGGTCAGCAGCCCCAACTCCACCAGCAGGCCTGCCCTTCCAGTCAAGTCCTTAGCACAGAGGGAGGCTGAGTACGCCGAGGCTCGGAAGCGGATCCTGGGTAGCGCCAGCCCTGAGGAGGAGCAGGAAAAACCCATCCTCGACAGGTAAGTGCAGCAGACTGGCTGATCATATCCCAGAAGGAGAAGTACCTGCCAGACTTGGCCAGTCGGGGTTTGCTGGCCATCTGCCTGCCCAGTCTACAGGCACCAGGGGCACTGCTACACAGAGGCAAAAGGTATGGGCTTTGAGTCAGGTCTGCCACTTCTTAGGTCAGTAGGACTTCCCTGAAGCCTACTCTGAGAAATGGCATCTTGGAATACCAAGTGACGTGAATCGCTGAGCAAGTGCAGTAGGGTGGCGAGCCTACCTGACACCAGTGTCTGGGGAAGTGCTTCTGCGTTACCTGGTGTTCCTAGGAGCTACTGGGTTGGGGTTTTTTAAATTTTCTAACTCCTTGTTTCATCTTGGGATTTTCTCATGCTGGGGTTTTCCTGAAGGCTGCATCATAACATTTTGTTGCTTCCTGGCAAAGGAGTATTTGTTAGATTCTACTCTTAACTTTGAATAGTTTCTTTGGCTTGGTCTTCTGAGACTTGAATTATCTGTGCTTTCCTTGTTTTAAATTCATTGTTTTCTTCTCTAGGAATAGGGTCCAGTCAGTAGCCACATGGTTTGGAAAGAAGCAGGAGACAGAATAGAGGGATATGGGTCATCTGAGCTTGGGGCTGGGGCTCCACCCAGTCCAGCATTAGAGACTGTACCATGTAGCTCTATGACAGCCATGGCCACGGCCCTGAACAGGATGGGCCCTGAGCACATTCTGCCTACAAATTGAGTAATGGCAAGCCAAATGGTGAATACTATAGCTGCTAGAGGCGAATTTGGAGGTGGTTGGAGTCTGCTTGCCACAGAAGCAGCCTTTTACAGCCAGAGCTAGCTGGTAGCCACTGTGGTGTCTACAAGCATGGTGGATTTTTTTTTTTTTTAATTTGGGGTTATCTCTTCTATCTTTCTACAAGCTATACTCTGATCTTTTCTTCAGGCCAACCAGGATCTCCCAACCCGAAGACAGCAGGCAGCCCAGTAATGTGATCAGACAGCCTTTGGGTCCTGATGGGTCACAAGGCTTTAAACAGCGAAGATAAATGCAGGCAAGAAAGGATGCCACCGTTGCCACCATCACCGCCTCCTGGGTCTTCTGCCATGGGTCGCACGGCCGTGGCAGACAGCTGGACTTGAGCAGAGGGAACGACCTAACTTACTTGCACTGTGATCCCCCTTGCTCCGCCCACTGTGACCTTGAACCCCATGCACTGTGACTTCCTTCTCCCCCCTTCCCACTGTGATTGGCACGTCGACAAGGGCTGTCCCAAGTCAATGGAAGGGGAAAGGGTGGAAACTAGGGGAGGGCTGGGGGGACCCACTAAGGACTCAAGAGTAGAGAGTCAGACAGTGCCACATGGCCACTTGGGGCAAAGCCAGTGCCAGCAATAACAGTTTATCATGCTCATTAATTTGGGATCTCAAAACACAAATGAGAACTCCTGCCCACCCACCCCTAAGTGCGTGTCTTCATCGCTTTAAAAGTAAGTTCCATTTGAAAATATCCTTTTCTTTTTATTTTTCTTCCTATTTTTGTTTTTACAAATACCCGATTTGCAGGAAAAAGTGCATGGGAGGGGTTTTAGCAGTTTAATGAATTTTTAATTGAGAAGGGTAGTTTAATAGTCTACTTTTAAAATGTTTCTGGAAATTTTGCTAGAAACATTAACCCAATAGAATTTTGGTGAGCTTAGCTTCTATACTCCTACTGCTGCCCAGAAAAGGGGCAGGGCTGAATAGCCCCAGGATAGATGAGCACCCCATGCCTATATTCCCTCCTCCAGCTAAGCCCTGGGTGGCTTGGCCCTGCCTGGGAAGAAACTAGCTATCCAGGCTCCAAGAGCCTGGAGAAGATGTAGCCCCCTTCCTGCCTAGTATTTTGGGAGATGGGGAAAGTGATCGACTTACCCTCCCCCAGTCCCTCAGGGTGGCTCCCTACCAGCCAGACCTGCTACTTGTAGAGAAGGAAAAGGCCCTGGGAGTGAGACAGCACTCCTGGGCTGAGAAGCAAGAGGTGTGAGGTTGTTCAGTGTTTGCCATCAGCATATGACAGGAGAAAGCCTGGCTCTAAGACTCCAGGCCTTCAGCCTAGTGACAGAAGGTAGAGCTGTCCAGCCAGGCTGGAACTCTTGGGGTCTTGTGGTGCTCCATCTGTTTGATGGTAACTTGGTAACTAAACCTGATAACGTCCTGTGTGAAATCAGTACCATGAGAGAGGACCAGTCTGAATAAAGTTTCATTGCAAAGATGGATGCCCAGCTGGTTCAGAGAAGGCTGGTTCAGGCTGTCCTAATCCCCTTTTCCAGAGCTTGTGCCTGGAATGAAGACAGTGTCTCCTGTCTCTGGAACCTGTTTGTTTGGCTCTTTGGGCAGGGGCAGCTGTCCAGGGCAGTTGTGTGTGGGCAGCCTGGCTCTTTGCAGGTGCTCTGATCTCTACCAATGTACTATGCCATCCAGACAGCCCCTCCACCCGTAGACGGGTTTTGGAATGGCTGGTGTAGTTTGGGATTAGGGCAGCCAAAATGGCCAGGTTTTGCAGGTTCAGTCTGCCTTGGGTTCACCTGGCTACCAGCCTTGCCCTGTAGCAGTGGTAGACAGGGTCCTGTTGTGTCCCTTGACATCTTCCCCTTAGGAGAAACTGAGTCACAGCACAGCCCAGAACTGTGAAACCAGGAATTGTCTGCATGTGCGCTAGAACGAGCCTCCATCTGTAAGAGGAGCCATCACCCACAGGAGTGGCTGCTAGCTCAGAGTCCACTGCCCTGACCAAGTGTTCACCCCTCCCTGCAATAATAGTGGTTCCTGACTGAGGTGAGACTGTCCTCTGAAGTGGAGATGTGTGCAGAGGTGGCCCAGGTGGGAAGGCCCAGGGATGATGGCTCAGTTCACAGGGCCACCTGGGCCTGCTGCATACCCCTGGTGGGAGCTGAGGGCAGGCAGGCACTGGCTGGTGGGTGTCTGCATTGAGAACGTGCAGGGAGGGCACCTACCTCCCTCAGCCAAAGACAGGGCTTTGCCCACCGTGTGCCTGTCCCCGCTGCCCAGCTGCCATGCCTTTGGCTTCCTAGACAGAGAGGTGGCAGGCAAAATGAGAGAAAGGGAAAACAGGAAACTCACGTGTTGGGGGAGGTGGGAGATGAAATGGAGAATGGTTTGGGTTTTGTATGTGTGTGGTTTGTTGTTTTCCTTTTCTTTTTTCTTTTTTTCTTTTTTTTCCCCTCAATTTGGTAGTTGTCTGTAACTTTCCTTAAGTGCTTTTTTTTTTTTTTTAAGCAAGTTGCAGGCTTTGGCTTGGAAATCCCCAGGGGGTAAGGGGCAGGAACCTGAGGCTGCTGCCCCTTTATCTGCCTTCATGGTACTGTCCCTTCCTCCAGCTCCTCTGGACCCCATGAGCCAGGCCTCAGCCCTTCCAGCTAACCACTTCCCATGAGCCACTACTCTGATGTCAGCCTATAACCAAAGGAGCTGGGGGTCCGGGCCTGGTGACCAGCCCTTCTCAGCCCCCTCACTCAGGGTGCTCCCCACCTGCAGGCAGGAGGCAACACCCTATCTGCTGCCATCAGCCCCTTCCAGAGCCCACTTGCCCTGCCCGGCCCTGCCCTGCCCTGCCATACCCTGCTCTACCCCGTCTGGGGTTGCTGTGCTCAGGGAGGGGCCGGCAGGGCTACACCCAGCCTCCTGGTAAACAGAGACTCAAGAAACCTTCAGGGTCCTGTTTCTGGTTGTATGACTCCAGGGGTGCACATGGTCCCCTTGAGTGTCTGAACCGCTGGAGGTAGGTGGGAGGGCTGCACCCCAGGCGGTCCTGTTCTGCTGTTGTAGTAGGCAGCTGCCTCTCCCTGTCCCCGCCCCCGCCCTGCCCCGCGGGCTCCTGAGTCGGCAGATTAAGCATTTTATAAATTGTATTTTAAATACATGTTTTAAACTTGTCAGATCCTTGTCCTTATTTCCATTTCTGGCTTTCCGCCTCTTGCTGTGGCTGTTTGTTGAACTTGGAGGAGCAGTAGCTCCTTAAATCCTGCAAGAAAAATGAGTAGATGGGTAGGGAAGGAGCAGGTGGTGTGGGTTAGAGGACAAGTGCTCGTGGAAAGGGGGACCCTTGGCCCTGGGTTCGGTTGAGAAGACCAGCTGAAGTGCACCCCTTACCTCAAGCCCATACTTGCAGGCCTTCCCTTTTCAGAGGCCAGGGCCTTGACTTCTTGGGTACTGGGTTTATGTATACAACCGACTTTGTGGCACCCCAACCCAAGGTGGGGCAACACTCTGATCTGAGGAGGGATCCAGCTTTCTTTGAGAGTGCACACATTTTATTCCAAAGGCCAGCTGCTCAGGAACCCCAACCCTGGGCAAGTCACTGAAGCCAATGCCCTTAGGGATTGAGCAGTGAAACTGGGGGTCTTTGGCACCAGGCATAGAGACTTGAGGTTCTTGGTGTTTATTGGCTTAGCAGGCCATAAAAGCAAATTTCAGCAGCAGGCCCTGTCTGATGACCCTCCTGTCTCAGGCCTTGAAGTTCCCAGGGTGAAGACCCAAAAGGGTCAAGAGGGTTCGGGCTTGCACCGAGCAGAGCCACTTTTGGCTGTCAGAACTGTGTTCCCTGCAGAGAAGGGTGGGAAATACCAGAGTCCTTTTCTCAGCCCTACTGGGCCATAGGCTATTCTTGTACACCTGGGGATATGGGAGCTCTTTTCTGGGAGTGGAAGGGAATTCAGGGGATACTCCCCTCTGCCCAGTTACTAAAGCCTGGTGCTCAATAAAATGGACCTTGACTTGGCAGAGAAGTAAAGTTCCCTGTATATGAAGGAAGAGCCAACACCAGCCTGATACACGGTAGGTGTCAGGCACTGAGTTCTGGGTCCAGGAAGGCTTAAGTACTTCCGGCTTCAGTGAAACAGACCCTGGTACACAGGCCCTTCACACAAGTTCGTTTCTTCCCCTTGATCCTTTCTCCCATTTTTCCTAGCCTTCCATCTTAGAAGGATGGATTGCACAGGTAATAGGCCAGGGGCCTCATGAGAAAGAAGGTAGACGGGGTACCAGGCACAGGTAGCTCATGCCTGTAATCCTAGCTACTCAGGAAGCTGAGATCTGAGGATCATGGTTCAAAGCCACCCCAGGCAGGAAAGTCCATGAGACAATTAACTACCAGAAAACCAGAAGTGTTGCTGTGGTTCAAGTGGTAGAGTGCTAGCCTTGAGAGCTGAGGGACAGCGCCCAGACCCATAGCCAAAAGAAAAGAAGGTAGATGAGCCTATGGGGCCCTCAGCACCCACCTGCTTCCTTGGGGTCCTGACTGGAATAAGAAGCTACGGAGGTCGGGGCCTAGGCTGGTGGGGACACACTGGCCCAGCATGAAGTGATTGCCTAGCTTCCGACGGACCATCTTCTTGTCCATTCGAGGGCAGAGTGGGATGCAGGGTACCTGGGCATAGGGGCTCTGCAGGTTAGCAGCTGTGGTAGGAAACAGGAAAAGGAATGCTTCAAAACATAGCCACCAGCTGGGAAGGTGGCTCAGTGGTAAAGTGCTTGCCTTGCATGCATGAGGCCCTGGGTTCGATTCCTCAGCACCACATAAGCAGGAAAAAAAAGCCAGAAATGTGGCACTGTGCCTCAAGTGGTAGAGTGCTAGCCTTGAGCTGAAGAGCTGAGGGACAGCGCCCAGGCCCAGAGTTCAGGCCCCACAACCGGACCCAAAAAACAAAACAAAACAAAATATAGCCACCCTCGGGAGACTGGAGACCAAGCTTTGCCAACATAATGATCTTGATTGGATTTGGGTATGCCCCTGGGTTGGCAGTGGTTGGTAGTAGTATCTGCCTTGCAAAGTGGATGATGAGAGTTTAGGGGTGATAAAGCACTTGGATGAACACAGTTTAAAAGATGTTTCAAGCCAGGCACCAGTGGCTAACCCCTGTAACCCCCGCTACTCAGGAGGCTGAGCTATGATCAAGTCTCAAAGCCAACCTGGGCAGACAATCTGAGAGCTTTATCTCCAACTAACCAGCAAACAGCTGGTAGTGGAGGCGTGGCTCAAGTGGTAGAGTGCCAGTTGTGGGAGTGTAGGGCCTAGAATTCGTGCCTTAGTACAACATCAAAGAAAATCTTTTTGAGGACACCTGGCCAAGTCTGGTGAGCACATTGAGAAAGACTGCAACAGTCCCTGCCCATCTCTTGGCTAATGAGTGACACCTGGGTGAGAGAGTGGCCCAGTAGAACATGCAGACTCCCCTTTCCAGGACACAGGCTAGGGGAAAGGGGACAGCAGGTTAAGAGTCCTCAGGTTCTTTTTCTGTCTGAGATATGGGGTAGGTATGTGATCCTAGGACAGACACCTGTACAAAGAGCCAGCACTGCAGCCCAAGCTAGTGAGTTCTCCACCAGTGTTAGGCAGCCATTGCTCATTTTTTCCGTAGCTGCTCCCTTTTCAGTCTTGGCTTTTGAGACCAGCCTTTGCTCAGCTCTTAAGAGAAAAGCCCTGTGAGGAGCCTGTAGTCAGAGCTACATGTCAGATAGTGGTTAAGAGCTCATTTAGTAAAAGCTAAGTCTGAAATAGGAAGTGCCCCCTTAGGACTGGCTTTGTGGGGACTCAGGGAAAGCAGGCCAGGTGGGCGGGTGCTACTTTCCCAGCCCAGCCCACTGGGTTCTTACCATAGTTCTGCTGCTTTAGCCGGCTCAGGATCCTGAGCACCCTTCGTTCAGGGACTTCAAAGCTGTCTGCCTGCTGGGGACTGTACAAAAGCTTCTTCTTCGACCGGATCCTGCCTGTGGCTGAGTCCATCTCTCGAGTCTTGCAGATGCCTTCCTGCAACTTCTTCTTGTAGTAGCTGGGGAAGCAGTGTCCACCAGCTCAAACCAGCTGTGCCTACATTCACCCCTCCTCCTGATCCTCTATTCTGAGCCCCTGGCTAGTGGTAGCAGGATGACAAGCCCTGTTCTGGGCCTCAGTCCCAAGCAGAGGAAGCCTTCCCCCCCCCTCCCCCATCCCATGGCCTCTCTGAGACACAGGAGTCTCCTGGGTAAGACAGGGATGGAATGGTATTGTTTCTGTGCTGGTTCTAAGGCTTGAACTCAGAGTTTGGGCACTGTTCCTGAGTTTCTTTTGTTCAAGGCTAGCGTTCTATCACTTGAGCCACAGCTCCAATTTCAACTTTTTTTTGTTGTCGGTTGTGGGGCTTGAACTCTGGGCTTGGGCGTTGTCCCTGTGCTCTTCAGCTCAAGGCGAGCACTCTATCACTTGAGCCACAGCACCACTTCCATTTTTTTCTAGTGGTTAATTGGAGATAAGAGTCTCACTGCCCGGGCTGGCTTTGAACTGTGATCCTCAGATCTCAGCCTCCTCAGTAGCTGGGAGTACAGGCGTGCACCACCAGTGCCCGGCTCCACTTTCAATTTTTACTGTGATTAATTGAAGATGAGCATCTCATGGACTTTTCTGCCCAGGTTAGCTTTGAACTGCAATCCTCAGCCCTCAGCTTCCTGAGTAGCTAGGATTGCAGGTGTGAGTTACTGGCGTCCAGCTGTTACTGAACTTTTTATTTAGATGAGCAACTATTTTCTAAACCAGCCATGTAGCCAACTAGTACTCACCCTTCCAGATTTCAGCATGAGGACCATCTACGGAAAGTATACCTTCTGCTCCTATAGACAGGTCTGCCTGCTAGGCTCCAGATGCTGGCCCCACAGCCTGTGCTTGACCATCAGAACCCACAACCAACTTTCTTTTCTTTGCTCATTACCGACCCTCCCCCATGAGTCTGCCTCATATTCATTCAGCAAACAGTGCTGTTGGCTGCTGCCTGGGGAAGAATGGGAAGAGTTGCCACACAGGGGCTTCACAATCTCAGCCCTACCTAGCTGCCACAGCAACTGTTTCTTCACGGTTCCACCACCTTTGCTCAGGTCATCCACAGGACCTACTTAGGGTCTGCCACAGGTTGACACCGGTGCTCCTCAGGGATGACACTCAAGTCGTTCAACATGAGTAGATCACCCTTGGTCACTGGAGGTGGTGGCCAGGGTGTAAGGCTTTTTCCTTCCTTTCTTTCTTTTTTTTTTTTTTTTTTTGGGGGGGTGGTCCGGTCGTGGGCCTGAACTGTGGGCCTGGGCGCTGTCCCTCAGCTCTTCAGCTCAAGGCTAGTGCTCTACCACTTGAGCCACAGCGCTACTTCTGGCGTTTTCTGCTTATGTGGTGCTGAGGAATCGAGCCCAGGGCCTCATGCATGCAAGGCAAGCACTCTACCACTGAGCCACGTTCCCAGCCCGGCTTTTTTCCTTTCTTCCCAAGCCACCACAAAGCATTCCTCAGAATATCTTTGGGCCCATGACTCCGCAGCCCATCATTGCCTATCCTTCCTCCTCCTGCTGCTCTCGCAGCCCTTCCCAAACCAACCACCTGGACACAGACTGGATGGGAGAGCTACACCATAAACAAAACTGACTGATGGAGCTATACCATAAATGAACAAAACCATTGTGTCAGGGCTGGGAACAGGTGGGAACTAGAAGGGTACACTTGGAACTAGAAGAACTGGCAGAATCCTAGAATTACAAATGACCAAAACTGACTCAGGAGGAAGTAGAAAACCTGAATAGTAAAGAAATAAAAGGGCTGGGAAGGTAGTTCAGTGGTAGAGTGCTTACCTTGTATGCATGAGGCCCTGGGTTCCATTCCTCAGCACCACATAAATAGAAAAAGCCGGAAGTGGCGCTGTGGCTCCAGTGGTAGAGCATTATTTATTTATTTTTGTCATGGGGCTTGAAGTTTGGGTCTGAGCACTGTCCCTCAGCTCTTCAGCTCAAGGCTAGCGCTCTACCACTTGATCCACAGCACCACTTCTGGTTTTCTGGTGGTTAATTGGAGATAAAGTTCTAACTGGACTTTACTGCCCAGTCTGGCTTTGAACCACGATCCTGTCTCAGCCTCCTGAGAGCTAGGATTATAGGTGTGAGCCACCTGATGCCTGGCAGAATCAATCTTAAATCCTCCCCCTGGGGCTCTGGTTATCTGATCACAGGCTTACCCTCTTCTGTGGTCTGAACCCTAGCCAAGGAAATATTGAAAGAGGGCCTTTGAGAGGCTCCACTCTGATACCTGATTGGTGCATACTAGAAAGCAAATCCTTATTACATCTTTATTCCTGAGAAGGAATATACACAGGGATACCTTTTATCCCCCAGCTGCTGTCTGCCTAGGGCTAGTTGCCTATCTGGCATAGCAGCAGGTATGGGCTTGGGCTCAAGGCAGCTAGAGAGGGCTGGAATGCAGGTGTTGGGATCAGACAGAAGGAAGCCATGCCCTTTTAAGAATGTAAGTCAGGCTGGGAATGTGGCTAGAGTGCTTGCCTAGCATGCATGAAGCCCTGGGTTCAATTCCTCAGTACCACATACACAGAAAAAGAAGTGACATTGTGGCTCAAGTGGTAGAGCACTAGCCTTGAGCAGAAGAAGCTCAGGCCACGAGTTCAAGTCCCATGACTGGCAAAAAGAAAAAAAAGTGGGACACTGGTGGCCCACACCTATAATCCTAACTACTCAGGATTCTGATATCAGGATCACGGTTTGAAGCCAGCTGGGACAGGAAAGTCTGTAGGACTATCTCCAATTAATCAAGAAAAAGCCAGAAGTGGTGCTATGGCTCAAGTAGTAGAGTGCTAGCCTTGAGCAGAAGGAGCTCAAGGATAGTGCCTGGGTCCAGAGTTCAAGCCCCAGGAGCAGTCCCTACCCCAATATCCCCCCCCCCCCCCCAAAAAAAAATACTGAGACCAAAAAGCTTAAAAACTTGCCAGGCACCAGTGACTCATGCCTGTAATCCTAGCCTCTCAGAAGGCTGAGATCTGAGGATTACAGTTCAAGCCAGCCTGGACAAGAAAGTCCATGAGACTCTTATCTCCAATTAACCATCAGAAAACCGGAAGTGGTGCTGTGGCTCAAGTGGTAGAGCGCTAGCCTGAGCTGAAGAGCTGAGGGACAGCGCCCAGACCTAGAATTCAAGACCCACGACCACCACCAACAACAACAAAGAGTTTAAAAACTTAATTCTGGAGAGAAATTCTTTTTTTTTGGGGGGGGGTCCAGTCATGGGGCCTGAACTCTGGGCGTGGGCACTGTCCCTCAGCTCTTCAGCTCAAAGCTAGCACTCTACCACTTGAGCCACAGCACCACTTCTGGCTTTTTTCTTTTTGCTTATGTGGTGCTGAGGAATCGAACCCAGGGCCTCAG